TGGGCTGATACATGGGTCACGAGGCAGGTGGGAAATAGTGAAGCTTCACGGGTCCTGCTATAGCCAGTAGGAGCTCAGCCTGGATCCGGTGCTACAGTGGCTGGATCTCTATAATAGGGAAGTATCCTTTGTTCTTTTTAAGTGTTAATTTTCACGAATAGTCCACTCCGGTGGACATGGCCAAATTGCTCCTTTCTGTCGTGTTCAGAACTGAGCGAGAGTCAATGACAAATCTTTAAGGGTAGTAAAAGAGCCCGATGTCCCCACATAAGCAGCTGAAATCCCAGATTCAGTTGCTGAAATTGATGCTGAGGCTAAATGCTGGGTCCTGCTGCCATGCTTGGGCCAGGCGTATGTAGGAGTTAACTCTCTGTAAGCCCCCCATTTAAAAACTGAACCCACTGTTTTAGGATGAGGGCATCAGCCCCATAGCTGCTACAATAAGACATTTACTCCCAGGAATTATTTCCAGGAGTTACATTTTATATGGTGTAGCTATGAAGACGGTTGACAGTTGGATGCGGGGCACTGAGGTTTTAGAGGTGGAAGGTGAGTGAAAATGCTCCTTGTTAAAAAGAAAATCACAATTCCCTAGAAACATTTCTAGCACAACTCTCTGTGAAATAAGTAACAGATGCTGACGTGCACGACGGCGGGGGTGTGGGGAAAAGATTGCACTGACACTCAGATGGGATGATTATTAATCATGTTTATTATGATAGACCCAAGCACTAACCAGGAACAAGGCCTAGTTGCACCGGGCGTTGTACAGACATATAGTGACACTCCCTGATACCAAGGAGTTTGCATTCAACATAGAAAAGCCAGGCATCGGGTGGGGGGAGCAGACTTTGAGGGACTTATACCGTGGTCAACAGAAGGAGCAAAGGGCCTGCATGATGAAGAGCTTTGCTCCTTCTGTACTTGGATGGATCCAAGGTACTTGGATGGATCTGTTACTACAGGATCCCAGATACTTGGATGGACCTATTACTACAGGGTCCAAGGTACTTGGATGGATCCATACTACAGCAACTCCTAATCTTTATATATCCTTCTCCTTACAACCCCCTTCAGACGTAAGGAACCAGAAGGCGGCAGAGCTGGGATATGGCTCAGAAAGGCGACCTGAGCTTTAAGGCTGCTCTCATGTCCTACCCCTGAAGTGGAGCTGAATGCTAGCCCCAATAACACCTCTCTGCATGCAGGTCTATCAATCAAGATACAAAGGGGGCACAAGGCACTTCATGCATCTCCTTTCTCACCTCTCACCTTCCCTTCACTCCTCTCTCAGTGCATCTCGGCCTGTTTAGGAAGCTGGGTTGGGTCGTGCAACAAGTGTAAGCTGTAGCTGAATTATGAACATCACCAGGGCTGTTCCCCTGCTGTCCAGAGTGTGAGTGGGTGCCTCGTCATTGAGTCTTTTATGTTCCCTCCCTTGTCACTCACTTCCCATTCAACCCTAGGGAATGCTTTCAAGGAGCTGCAGACATCTGGTTTTGGTTAGTACTTACCCATGTTCGTTCAACAGTGCAGGGCTAAGCAGACGTGGCTGGGACCAAAACCTTGTTGTGCAAGGCAGCCATACACAGCATGAGACAGTCTAGGGCCCAAGACACTTAGGGCCAGATCCTACTCCCCTGCCTACCTAGATGTTGGTATCCAAGTGAGATCCACCCCCACCGCTGTATTTCCCGAAGAAACTTTAATGCATCTCCATTTGCAAGACACCGTGACACTGAGTCATAAAGAGCCGTGTGGAGGAGGGGGGTCCACCCACTTCATGCATTCATGGTTTTCTCCCGGACCCAAACTGAAGGGAATAGGCTTACACTCATTAAGTTGAATAGGATCTTGTCCCAATGCAGAAGAAAAGGTAACGCTATTTGCCAAAGGTCACAGAGGTAGGACCAGAACTCAGGGCTCTGGATGTCCACTGCAGGGCCTCAACTTCTGGACCCCGCCCCAGGTTATTACACCGATAGCTGTGGTTTCTTTGTCAGAGAGAAGACTGTAGCACAACCTGGGAGCAAAAGCCTGTTATCATATCACATGTTACCCGGAATAGAAGTGTTTACTGAGTTTGGATACATAAAAATATGAAGGAACTAGCAAAACAATTATTAAAGCATATAATAGGTGACAGGTATTTTGACATTAACAAAAACAAGCACAATTAATTAGGCAGGGAAAAATAAGCCTTAAAAACACCCACCACAAGTAAGAAAAACATGCAGATATGTAAGAAATCCAAATCATAATCTGCTTTCAAAGTCGGTGAAAATTGAAACGTTTGAAGTCCTAAGTGATTCATCTCTATAGTGCAGCTCCTAAGATCCTTGGGGGCGAAAAAAAACCACACCTCTAAGTCATCTTCAAGGGAAAACACCGTGACATCATCGCGTATGCACAATCATTAATCACGGGAAAGGTGAAACTGGTGTAGCCCAGACCCTTTGCTTTAGTGCAATGCACTCGGCATGACTTAGTTTGGAGCGAACGTCCTGACTTCTGCCTCTTTCGTGTTTAGACCCAGGGAACGGTCCTGCCTCTGGTGTAAGTCCCAACACCCCCAAGCCTGCTCTAATTTGCGCATGACTGCTCACAGCATTAAGGGGCGGCATCAGCACTTGGGAAAGCAGCAAGAGGGCAGAGGCAGGTTGAGGAGTTAATCCAATTTTCCAGCTGCTTCGCATGCCAGAATTGAGGTGGCATCTCACCCTCTATGGGCATATCTACAAGTGCACTTTAATGCACCTTAGCCTATTTTAATGTGCATTAGAGCATCACCAAAAAAAGCATGCTCTTTGGCTATTGTGCATTAAAATAAGCTAATGCACATTAAGCGTCACTTAAAAACTGTGCTCTTATTTAATGAGCATTAAGACAGTCTAATGCATATTCTCCAAGGACTTCACCATGGAGGTCCTAGATTTGATGTGCATTAACTAAAACACGTTAATGCATGTGTAGACGCGCCGTAAGCGACTCTAGCGCTGTTCTGTTGTTAATGCCAGGGCCATGCAGCCAATGCGTGTGGCTGAATGCATGCACCACCGCAATGCCCCCCTTTGCTTTCTCCTGGCATTGCTGCTACTCATTGCCAGGAAACGAGCCCAAGAGCTGCTCTTAGCCCCAGCTGCAGCAGGGATCAGCGTGTTACGGCCACGTCCCCTGTCCTCCAGCCTCTTTCTACTGCTGGCCCAGTAGCAGAGAGCACAAGGCCCTTAAGAGCCTCCATACTGGGCCGGACCAGAGTGTCCCCCTGTTTGTGAGGGTTCAATCTGTCTTGTCCTGCTAACACTGACTCTGGCTAGAAGCAGAGCAAGCATGCACCGAAAGGCACAGGCCCGCCACCTTCGGCCCCGGTGTACCCAGTGCAGGTGCACCCTGTCCCCAAACCCCTCCATCCGGCTGCAGCGAAGGGCAGGGGAGGCAGCGGGGGGAAGGCTCTGGGGGGGGCTCCAGGAACAGAGGGGCTTCCTGCCCCTGGTGGGGGCTGAGGACTCCTCTAGATGTGAGCAGCTCCAGCT